ATCCCCATATAAACCCCAATATAATCCCTATAATAAGCCCTATAATCCCTGTAGGTTCCATTTTCTTTTCCATTATCCCAATATAACCCCAATATTACCCCAATATATTCCCTAGCTTCCATTTCATTTTCCATTTTCTTTCCGTTTGATTCTCCATTATAATAGTTTCCATTTTCTTTTCCATTATCCCACTATAAACCTGTTTTGGTCACCCAGAGCCAGGATGGCAATTTGACAGCATGTTGTGAACCTACTATAGTATATTGGGGTTTATATTGGGGTTATATAGGGGTTAGAAAGGGATAATGGAAAATAGAATGGAAACTACTATAGTATAATAGGGTATATATTGGGGTTTATATGGGGATAATGGAAAATAAAATGGAAACTACTTAGTATTAGGATGGGCCTTTCGCAGTTTTTTCTATGCAAAAACTAGTGGCCAAGTGGAGAAAGAAACGGCCTTCTGCGCGCTAAACGCGCCCTGCTTTTCAGTGCTGCAGTGAGTGCGCAGCAATCACCTATGTTTGACTAAAGTGTCTGAAGTCTCATATGTCGCATCGATTTCCTCTGTTACCAGGTCATGAGCGACGGCGGAATGGACTTCAGCAGCCTATGCAAGCAAGAGAAGTGCACATTTACGCTCCTCAGACAGAACAGAACACCTTACAGCGGGGATTGATGATCATGCCCGTTCTGGAGCACAGGGTTCCATGCATACCACATGCCACAACTCAAAGTGATGTCTGCTCTAAGTCAAGGCTGTGTCCGCCAGCGAATGATCGCTGCGGCCCTAGTCATCGGAGCCTTGAAGCAGCCCCATCGCCAAGTGCATCAGCCGGTGTGTCACCTCCCATCCAGACTTCCTGCCAGACCTGAATTTGGCAATGTGTGCTGTACGCATGAATTGATTGGTAATTGACCCTGTTTGAGCTTTCAGGCTGGCATCCATGGCCATTTTTCCGTCGTGACGCCCTGAGTCATTTCATGTTCAGCTGTGTGCGTTGGAGGACTTTGCGTTGCACAGCTGTGGCAAGTTCAGACTGAACCAATCCAGGTATCTACGACGCTGCCTTGAGTCTCAATACTGAATACCTCATCATGCTGGACAGGGTTGGTTCAATCGTATGTCAAAAGCGGATGGCTTTTTAGGTCGCTGGTCTGATCACCAGCACAAAATTTGACGTGTGTGTCAGCCTGGGAGTGATCCGCCTCCAGCCTGTACTCATGCCGTCTTGATCCGTCTTGCTTTTTTGGTGGCATGACGGCCAGGAGCCCGATAATACTGTTCACAGCCCGGTCAGACGACTGCCACAACACGATGTGGGTGGCGTGCATGTCCCGAGCCCTGGCCGCCTCTCTCTTTTCACGTTCCTTCATGACGTCCGGTGCAGACGCAGCAATTGCCAGTTATTGGCTTGCGTTCTGGAATTCTCCAGGAATCGCGCCTTCCAGCTTGCAGAGCATGTGGAGAAACTAGCGCAGGAACGTGCCGCGCATCTGCAAAGAAAAGTTTTGATCCCAACCAAGGCCATGGAAACAGCAGTGTGAGGTGATGGTTCAGACATGCTTGCAATCGACGCTGTAGACTTGCACAAGAGAAGTGCACGGACGTTCACCAGATGAGTGCAAAGGTTCCTGGGTTCCGATGGAGTGCCGAGAGCATGCAAGCTGGGCTCTGTGGCGGAGCTTATTTCCGCACCGAGGCCGTGCTAGAATCTTGACCTTGCAAGTGTCATGATTTTTTGGAGTCTCGTATCCCTCGTATAGTACATCTACATTGGATCGGAAACTTGGATCGTATGCGGCGCAATTGCCTCATAGATGCTCCTAGCACCACTGCTGCTGCTGCTGCTGCTGCTGCGGCGCTGGCTGCAGCTCAACTTCAACAGCCAGCCGCAGCCGCGACACCTGCTACCACTAAGCAAAGATGCAGCAAGCATGCAGGACAGCGATAGATTCAGTAGATCTTGAGGTCAGTCCTGTAGCATCTTGAACGTATCTCGTGAAGCGGCGCAAGATATAGGGCAGCTGCGGTTTGGCATCTCCCCGCCATCCTGGTCACCTTAACTGCATACCCAAGGATGCATTCTCCGATGAAAATGTGATGCAGCCTCTCAGCTGTTTGTAGCTCCAGCATATGGATTTTTTTCACGGCAAGTGGTCTAATGCCATTCTACTTGTATTGAATCATCGTGGTCCAGTTCAGTACAGCTTTCACTGCTAGAACACGTCTGCTCGCGCGTTTCCAGCGAAGCAGTGGGCAGCTGCAAGGCAGATGGAAAGATGTGCAAAGTTTAGTGCACTGCTTGAAATGTTAAACACTGGGAAGCAGCAAGAGATGAACTTTTTTTGTATTCGTTGACAGCCAAGTTCAGACAAGGAGGCCTAGAGGCGTACAAGAGAAACAGGAGCGTGTGCAAGGAAATGCTCGGGGGCCTGCGTGACCCGAGGATTGATTGGAATCTGCTTGGAGAACGTGTTGACAAAGAAATCTTTTCCTCGGATTTTGCGATGTCACAGCCTCAAACTGCGTGTTCAGCGTGCCTTATGGGTGCTTTCTCTCCATGAAAGGGTCTTGTGTTTTTCAGGCAGTATGCGCTTGCAGCTCGAGGGTGGCGAGTTGGAATTTGGGAGGAGGTTGCGCAGATGGACAAAGACAAGGACATCGATGGCTACTTCAGAAATTCATCAACGGTTCGAACGTAAAGTGGGTTTAAGATTCTCAGACATGCTTCGCTTGAGTGAAGGCATGAGCGGATGTTGCGCTGCTGTGCACAAAGGATGTGCCCCTTGCTGGCCCAGCTGACGCCGCCTTCCGGCATTATTGCCTCTTGGCAGCAGCTGCGAGGAAGGTGGAGGGGAAACCGCCATGCTGTGCGTTTCTGGTTTTCCAGCTGCATGAGGCTTTACCTGACCGGGAAGGTTGATGTTGGAGTTGAATGCTTGGGGGTCTGCAAGCCTGCTCTTGTGCACCAGGTTCCTGCTACCCTGGCGGCAAGCCAACCTACAATCTACAACTTCGGAAAGAAGCAGCTCGATGCACGATGGACTTGCGCTCTCTTTGCGATGCGCTAGCTGTAGATTCAACATTCCTGTAGCCGGAATGGGCTTGCTGCTTGCTGTGCCTCCTGTCAAGGATGAAGATCTCTTTAGTCCTGCTCCGCAAGAGTACACTGTCCCGAACTCCAATTGCCAGCTATGTTACAACCTCGCAACTTGGACAGCAGAGATGTCAGTGGTGACCATGCAAGATCTCGGTTCAAAGAGTCAGCCCAACATCCCATAGGCCTCTGAATGGATTCTACTGCGCAGAAGTTGCAAAGGTTAGCTAGGCTGATGATTCATGCTCAAACCCAGGACAGGTACGTGGAGAACTGGGGAAGTGCCAAGTGCACAAACCGCCTAGGATTCACGTACTCGCAGAAGCTGATGGACACGTGCTCCAGCCTTGAACTTGATAAATGCAGCTGGCAGTTTGGCTGGCCTGCACATGCTTCGCCTGGTAACGGCCATGAGGTACCATCCCGAATTGAAAAGCAAGCCCTGCGACCTGCCTTTTCTCTGCAAGCCGGATGGCCCAGTGGGACGTAGTTGAAACGAAGATAAACGAAGATTCTTGCAACCGTCTTTCAGCAGCAAGGGCAGTGTTGAAATAATTAGCTAAACGAACAGGATTGCGCTATCTCTGGCTGACTCTACCTACTGCAAGCTTATGACTGGCTTTTTGCCACCATCTGCTTTCTGCCCCATGGTGAGGCCTCAGCAGGTGCATCCCATCACCGCGCGGGATACGATCCTTGCCTCAAGCGTTGCTCGATGCCACGTGTGTGACATCGGGTAGCAAGTGTTTGAGCCTGAACGTGTGGCGCAATCCTTCATCAGGTTGGCAAACCGCCTTTATCCGGTTTTGCTGCAGGAAGTACGGCTTCTATTTGCATGTTTATGCCGATCCAGCAGCCGTCATCTTCCAGGCAAAAAAGCCTTGCTTTGTAGCTAGAACTTGACCAGCCTGGTGAAGGGGCTTCGCTTCAATACCTTTCGATGATTAGGATGTGCAGGGATTCAGTCCGGACGATTGTATCCATGGTGGCAGAACATGTTGGCGACCGTGCTGATTTTGTTCTCCGCACGCACAGTCTACGGCTTTGGCAGGTCCGCCAACTTCGGAAGCACTTCCCAGATTCGCCGATTTACGCCACATCCTTGTGCATGCTTGAGCAATGTCAGTCTCATGGAGCTGCAATCACTCCAACTGCGGCAACTGAATCGGAGGGATCCTTCGTCTACCCCACGCTGCCAGTTTCTGACTTTTCCGCTGTGCTGTTTTCACTTCTTAAAGTCAAGCCTTGCCAAGCTGAGTAACCTTCAGAGACCATGACAGTGACGGTCCCTCTAGCTAAACGGGTTCCGCCCACACATCATGTCAACTGTCAAAGTCTAGCTGCATGCAGCGGGGGGTTCCCCGCCCTGAGCTTAACAACAAATAAACTTTGTATGTCAAGAAGCTTGAGCCATGGAGCTACTGCGTTGTTTGGTCGGGGGCGGTGGGGAGCCCCAGGCGTGGAAAGTGAAGAGAGGCACGAGCTTGTGTGCAGTGAGCATGGTAGGTGCTGGCTGCTGCGGGGGGTGCAGCGCTCGGCGCTGGCGTGGTTGCCGGGGGCTTCTACCTCAAGGGCCTTGCCTGGACCTCAGTTAGTTGTGATGGCAGTCAATGCGGGATGCCAAACATGAGAGCAGACAAGCCAGCGATGCCTTGTGCAACTGCAAGACTGCAAGTTGTGTCCGTGTATTGCAGCACCTTGCGACTTGTTTAGCTTCAATGTCACCTCATGCAGCGAGCGCATAGAAAGGTCAAGCACACAGTGCGTCTGGCGTTTGTGCCGTGAAATCCTACATGCCAGCTCAGGTGGACAGCTACAAGGATTCGACCCATAGACAGCAGTGACTTGGCTGCATTTTGGTCACATACTCGCCGCTCGTTTCTGCTGAGCGAAGCACTTCTGTAGCGCATTCGTGCCGCAGAGATGGATCAGCGTGCCGGGTGATCGACATTTGCAGCAGATTGAGCTGAATTTCTGATTTCCTCATTGCTTGGACGAGGTTTCAAGTCGTGCAGGAGGCGCGCAGAACTGCTGCAGGTAGACATTTGGGTCAGCCACCTTGGTCTGCGACTTCCGCAGCTGTACATCACAAATCTGCCATCCTGCCTTCGGCAGTGTGTGGCATGCTAGTGCCATCCCTCCATTCCATGTCCTAGAGAAGTCCTAGAGAGCTCAATACAGGTGTTGCTTCCTGGCGCAGGCTTTGCAGCAAAGCCTTGGCCTAGAGAAGATGCAGCTGCCAAGCTCCTTCCAGGACAGAATGCGTGAATGTTTCAAGAATCCGCAAGCGCAGTTTAGAGCCACCTTTCAAAGATCACTTCACCTTTCCGAGACTTGCGCCAAGCGGTTTTAGGCAGATGGCGAAATCTGGCCCACCACCCAGCCGCTGACGACAAGCACTGCATATCCACAGGCCTGCATCCCAGTCATGACAAACCCCGCTGCTCGGTATGCCTGGGTCTGCCAGGGTTGGAGGCCAAAACAAAGGTCAGATCTGGCAGCGATACCAAGCATGACAACTGGCCAGGCATGTCATGTAAGTACTTCACATGAATTATCAGAAGAACGAGCTGGGAGATGGGCCCACGTACGTGAAAACTCATCAGTTTGGGCCAAGGCTAAGCTCTGTGCGACTGCTTGCTCCCGAGGTGAGGATGGCCTTTGAAGCGATCCTCAAGTACCAGAACGCACGAAAAGTGGCTTTCTAAGGATGCAGGTTCATGACACACGCTCACTGGTTACAGATGCATGCTGCGCTGCAACGTGCGGTTGGGTTGCAGATTTTCGCGAGGTCAAAGCAGACCCAAAGACTTTGGTCTGCGAGTTGCTCAAGACTTGGCTACGAGAACATGCGGCCGACACGGCCCCGGCCCCGCAGGCACATTGATATGAACAAGGGGAGCTCATCAGGAGGCATGAGCATGCGTGAGGCGTAAGCGCTTTCACTGGCAACTGGGGTCTGGATTTAGTGTTTTTGGGAAGTGGGACACCTGTTGCAGGAGGTCGAAGCCTACCGCAATCTGTGCTCCAAGTTGATGGTGCAGAAGGACAAGTGGAGGCTGGCCTGGATCAGGTATTGGAGTGCTGAAAAACTCATCCCCAGCGTTCATGAAAATAAGAGCAGCAGTTCTCGAAGCCAAAGCGTGTGGCAGACATTTCGGGGCGGGTCCGGGCCTGACACCTTCGCTGTGACAGGGGGAAGAGCTGGATCCCCCAGGGCACGCGAGAGACTGAGAAACTGCAGCGGTACTGCTGTTTCTGCCATGATGCATCTGACGTGGGACTAGTATCACCGGGACGAGATTGCAGACAAAGTGTACCAGCACCTGCAAGCGCGCACACATGCCGTAGACTACGGGCACAATTTCGTTACAATCGCTCAGGTTTCTCCAAACTGATCGAATTGGCTCAGGTTTGTCAAGATGTTAGCAGACGTGGCTCACGAATTGGACAAGCAACATGGCGGCACGATGATCTCGTCAGTGACACAGACACTGACACAAGTCTTTCCGCAGCACAGAGTTTGCATTCGCCACCGTCGGCAAGATGCTGTGAAGGGCAGACATGTGTAGCAATATTGCAGAGGCATGACCGTGACTTCTATACTCATCTGTTGCTGGGATGGTACGAGGCTTTTGAGAGTCCGTTTGCGCGATGCGAAGGATGCGCGGCAGTTGTTCGAATCACGGCTGCATTTTTCCAAGCGATGCGCATACCTCAGAGGCGTACTTAATCATGCGTGGGATGACGTACTTGCTGATTGATATGCTCTCTCCGGCGCCAGCAGTTGGGTGAAAAGGATTTGCAGAGCAGCAGCTGTGTGAAATCTATCGAGAGCATCCGAGAGAATCTTCTGAAGTTTCGCATGACTTGGATAATCTAGCCTGGGTTCGACGTCTGCTGTCATTTCAGCAGCTGAGGAAGACCTCGGCCGCTTGTCCTGGAACCTGGCACTGCAGACCACAAAGGTGCTCCTGCAGCCTGTCCAAACAGTCCGCGTCACTCGTTCCAGCACTGTTACTTGTCTGAGCTCAGAAGGCAGCAGTCTGTTCGCCGAGGCTGTCCGGGACTACTTTTAGCATTCCAGACGCGATCTATTCTTTGCATTCCCTGCGCGACCTGAAGCGCTATTCAAAGCCACCGGCACTTCTCAAGCACAAGACCGACAAGGACGCGAACTGTCGGTCCGTCGGTGGTGTTCTGACTGCAGATGTTCCTGGTATGGTTTGCAAGTTGAGGGCTTCAGCGTTCGTTGGCTTGTGCAAGCCCTGCCAGAGCATAACAGTACAACATTGGCTCAGAATCTACCACGCCAGGATGTTGCCAAGGACATGCAGGAGGCAAAGATGGGACAACATCAGGGGCACAACAGTAGCCTTTCTTCATCAATGAAGCCCACTACACCAAACTGGCATAGTTACGAAACAGCTACACAGCCCCAGTAACAACCCCACTTCTGAGACATTCTTGTTTCCTTCTTGAGGCTTGGCTGACAGAAGCTGGTGGCCTGCTGCGTCAACTGCTAGCACAGGCTGCAAGAGCGAATCCTTTAGGGTCTAGGCCGCCAGGCGGTTTAGTGTTTAGAGTCCAGGGTTCAGGTTCACGGTTCGGGGCTTGGGGTTCACTGATGTTTAGGCTTTAGGCAGGCTGGGGTTTAGGGTTTAGGACAATTCCGCAAAATCAGGCGGTCTGGCTTCCCTGGTTTACTCAGGCCCTTTATTCAAGGAATGTACCACATGGTAGCATGTCAGCAAGTTAATCTTGGGAACAAAAGCCTCGACAAGAAGAGCAATAAGGTAGACAGCCTGGTGCACAGGAAGGAAGGAAGGAAGTGAACCAGGGCAAATGAGTGCAACTAGGGGCAAGCAAGGACAAATACGGGCGAACAAGTGCAAACAAGTGCAGGACACAAGAGAAAATGAGAGCAAACAAAAACGGGTGTCCCGAAAGCGTGTGAAGCAGTGAGATGGCCGGCACCGCGACATCTAAGGTAGGAATCATTTGATCCGTTCATTTCTCCTTGTAGACATGCACCCATCCATGACTCCATCCATCCATGCTATTAACTCTCCCATATACGTCCCTGACATGAAAATATATTAGTTATTAATAGTGAACCTCACGAAAAATGTACGAAAACCTCACATCACGCCACGACCTCACATCGCATCTGAAAACAGTACGAGAACCTCATGACACCATCCCATTCACATCATCCCAAAAATCCAACATCAAGCCATCCTATACCCATCCTATACACAGCTACCACCACGAGATAAGAAACCTTCGCAACTCTTTCCGGAATAAGGACAAACAACAGCAAATAGATTCAGATAAACACTTGACAAAAGACAGATGATGACAACTATTGAGATTCCTGGAGGGGGCTCATGCTAGTAATGAAAGTGGTGACAATCATACGGAAAGCAATGACATTGCTAGACAAACGAGCGATGAGCATGCAGGACTACTGACAGGCCCTTCATTTCAGGCG